GAAGGGAACTTGCTCAAGTTGGAAAAGGAGATCCATGAAAAATTTTTCAGCTACATAATACTTAGTAGTGAAAGATTGAGTGCTGTCTACCTAAGAAATTAAAGGCAACCAGAATGGAAAGGGAGAAATAAAAACATCTCTATTTACAGGTAATGTGGTCCTGTATGTAGAAATTATTATACACACACACACAGAAACACACACACAGACATATACACACACATACACACACACTGCAAAACTACTAAAATAACCTCATCCACGTCACAGGATACAAGACCAACATACAAAATTCAATTGTATTTCTGTGAATTAGCAACAATAAAAAAGTAAAATTAAGAAAATAATTCAATTTTAAAAAATGAAACAGATTCAGATACTTAGCTATAAATTTAACAAAAGAAATTCAGGATTTGTACAATCGAATCATAAATCATTGCTGAAAGTTAAGACTATATCCACGAATAAAGAGACAGTTTATGTTTGTGGAGTGGAAGATTCAGGTATTCCTTGCAAAAATTGACAAAATAAGTGTAAAATTTAACTGGAAATGTAAAGATCTAGAACAGTCAAAACGCTTTTGGAAGAAAAAAAAAACATCCAAAATTTACTTATTTAAAGCTACAGTGTCAAGATAATGTGATATTCACATAAACATAGATTTTGGACCAGTGGAACAGAATTTAATCTAAAAATAAACCTTGTGTTGATACATCAATGATTTTTAACAAAGTTGCCAAAACAACTCATTGAGAAAAAGATGGCCTTGTCAACAAATGGTTGCACTAGCAACATATACAAAAATTAACTCTAAATTAATGATAAATATCATTGCAAAAGCTAAAATTTTTACATTTATAAGAAAACCTAAGAGAAAATCTTTGTCAACTTTTGTTAGGTGAGGCATTCTTAGACATGATGCCAAAAGCACAAGTGATTGAGGAAAACCTGATGAATTGGATGTTGTCAAAATTCAGAGTGGTTCAAAAGACACTGGTAAGAAATGAAAGGACAAGCCACTGAGTGGGTAAAAATATTTGCAAATCATATATTAGGTAAAGAACTTGGCAAAATGACATATACGAATGGCTATTAAGTATACTGAATATTGCTAGGCTTTAGGGAAACTAAAACCAGGATGAGTTACAATCACACATCAACTAGACTGGCTTGGATTGAAAAAAATAAAAAGGCAATACCAAGTGTTGTCAGATATGTAAAACAACAACAACAACAACAAAAAAAAAACCCAACTGGACCCTCATAAATTGCTCATGTAAATGTAAAATGGCACATCTACTTTGCAAAAGTTTAGCAGTTTCTTACAGTTACACATTAATGAACCAAAGAACCCAGAAATTCTACTCTTGAAAAAGCTACCTGAGAAATGAAAACATATGCACAGACTGGAACATAAATGTCTCTGGAAATATTAATAACCCAAGTCTGGAAACTATTCAGGTTTCTTGCAAACTGATGAATGGATAAATGAAATGTGGTATACCCATACAATGGGATACTTTTCAACAATCAAAAGAAATTGGAACATTGATACATGCTAAAATAGGAACCTCAAAAACATACAGTGAATGGAAAAAGCCAGATCCACAAGGCTCTACAGTATGATCCCATTTATGAAATGTACACAAATGCAAATTTATAGAGATAAAAAATTAGATGAGTGTTTGCTGGGGCTGGGACTGTGTAAGGGGGGTTGATTGCAAACAGATTTGTGAAAATTTGGGGGTGATGAGTTCTAAACTCAGATTATACTGATGGTTGCACATCTTTATAAATTTATTAAAAATCATTGAATTTACCCTCACTTATGCTTATAAATTATAACCCAGTAAAGTTATACATTTTTTAAAAAAGTTTTTAAAGGGGAAAAATAAACAAAGAAAAAAAAACATTAAGATTTGACTATTCTTTACTCACATAGCCTGCTGTGTTGACTTTTACTGTGGTACTTGATTATACTCTTCAAATCAGCTGCCTAATTCTTCGACTTCCCCCCCTGGAAATGTAAACGTAAGCATAATTAATTTGATAACCACTCTTTACTGCCCAGGACATTAGATCTTTAGGTGGGGTGTTGATCAACTGACATCTCAAGCACCTGGCACTAGAGCTGAAAGCTGAAACGAGAAAGGACCTAGGAGACCAGGAACTAAAAGGCACAGGATATCCACATGATTCCATGAAGATGTGAGCATCCCACTGTGATGACTATCAGTGTGCCTGTCAGTCTCCCTGGGGCAGAGAGGGACACCAGCCTAGAGGGGAAAAGGAGAGAGAAGAAAGGTACAAATGAGAAGACAGAGCAGAATGTTGGCAAACAACCTTTGTTACTGACAGTCTCTATTATTCCCAAAACAGTCTCCAACTGATGAGCTGCTAGAGACATATGAGGGGCATTTGTCTTCAAATAAACTGAAAACATTTGTTTCATGGCCCTAGAATAGTGACCCATAGGAGCATAGTATTGCATTTCATAGCTTTGGGGAAAACCAGAAGAGGACAAAAGGGGCAGGGGTTCCAAAAGGAAATGCCTTCTGCCAAACTAGGTGGCCCCCTCTACCTCTGTACACACTACTAAGGGTGGTACTGAGGTAGGTCCTGCCCCTGGTGGCCTCCAGGACTGGACAAAGGGCATTATTTGTGAATGAATGTTCACTGCCTTGTAGAGGGCTGGGACAGGTTGCCCTCTCACCCAGATGTTCCTGGAGCAGGTAGGGGACACTAAAAGAATACTAGGCTCACTATCACGTGGGTGCATCAGGATGATCTTGTGGACTGGATAGACAAATAGTCAAAAAAAGGTGGAGGTGATGCTTACAGGGAGCTAATGTTTAAGGCCCAAATTACAAGCTCTGTGAGATCCTTCCAGTAACCCTGTGATATGGGTACAATATAGCTACTTGAGGAAACTGAGGTCAGAAATCTCTCCCACCTGTAAAATAAGGCACATCATACATTTTACCTATCTGCAGGTAAAAACCTAAAGTGTACAATTTCCATTGACCAGTGTCACACATTTGGTAAGTGGCAGACCTGGGATTTCAATTCAGGTCCCTATGATCCCTGAGCCCTTGTTCTTTCTGCTGTGCCACACTGTCCATTCAGGTTTAGACAGCTTTAAAAAGAAAATATTCAGCCTTCCAGCTTCAGCTCTCTGATTTCTTGTTTCTGGATGATAATAAGGCAGCCAAAAGTCCTCCTGGGATTTCTTTTCTCCTCTAGGGCTGAGAGAATAAAAAACACCACTGTGCCCTTGAAGCTTCACCAACAATCACAACTATAAAGGCTGGGTTTAATGCTGAGAGGATATTATTAACAAATGGCTTAAGAAAACCCTTCAGAGGGCTTGCAGCCACCCACACCATTTGTAAAATCTTAGGGAAGAAACCTGATCCAGAAAATGGTTGGAAAGCAACAAACCCTAGTATCAGAAATACAAAAGGGGGAGGATCGTTGCCTTTAGACAATTTGTTTTATTGTGAACAATAAAAATGTTCCAGTTGATTCAACGAAAAATAATCAAAAACAAGGCTATTTTTTTAAAGGCATTTATAGGACTGCGGGTTTCATTTCCTTTGCCTTTAGATCTTTCGCCTCTCATTCTGAGCAGCAGATGCTGTCATATAAGGAAGACCACCTGCTTTCCAGGGCATCTCTGCAACAAATAGCTTTGAGGGAGAAAGAAGAAAGATCACAGGATGAAAAGGAAAGAATTAGAAAGGGGGGAAATGGGAAATTAAGAAGTTGGCTTAATGCACATCTTCTGAATTATTCAACTGCTGAAAAGTCGACAGATTTCTTTTGACACTTGACTGTCTCACTGTGTCTATATCCATATTCCACTTTTTAAGGACCTACTTTAAGAGAATTCTGTCCATCTGCACAGCCCAGCTTTGAGACATATTTATCTTTCCTTGAAAAACGGAGATATAAAAATTTATAGAACATGGGTATTAATTAAATGATATTTTAGTTCAGGAAAGTTTCCTGGCTTTGAAAGGACCCCTAGGGGTCAATTCTTCTTTAAAGAAAATTTCTTTTGGAAATGAAAACAGCGCACCTTCTCTTCCTTCCTCACCCCAACAGAATGACTTAAGACAGAATTTCTGGATCCCAGGGTTTCTAAAAGCTTGTTAAACTCTTACTTTTAAGGCAACAGGTAGGACTTGAGTCAGTTGAAATTATGACCTCAAAGGCTAATTGTTTGGAGAGAACTCAGTCCCCGTATGCCAAGGAAAATAAGATGTTAAGGAAATGTTTCATGTAATTCCAGTTCAGTTAACACGATCACTGAAATATACCAATAATATAAGGAATAACAGGAAAATGTCTACAGTTTAGAAGTCTCGGGAAACAATTTGTTCTAGATGGTTGACTTTGCCTACATTGAAGCTTTTCCTTTTATTAAATGCCCAAACAATGTCATTTTAGATTTTAACTGGTTTTAAGGTCTTCATGACATGCATCATATATTGATTTGCCTTTGTAAATAGTATCTATTTAATTATAATTTATTCTGTTAATACTTCCAAAAAGTATGTTGAAGAATTATTAAATGCTATTCTAAACATCATTTGAATTCTTCTTATTGTCTCCGATTTTCATGTCAAACACCAGTGACAGTAAGGGCTTCATTAAAGTAATTCCCTTGGGAAGATAAAAACACTTGGTCCTCTTACTCTGTGGTGGCCATATCCATCTATGCCATTTTAATTCTTATATCTGATTGTTTTTAGTTGTTCCTTTTCTTCCCTTGCTGCCAAGCGATTTCTTTGTTCATCTTGCAGGTTTACCTCTGACAGTCTCCTGCCCATCACAAAGTACTGCCTCTAATAGCCTGGAAACCAGATGACCCATTAGCATAAAAAGGTGGTACGGAAGGCCCAAGGGGGGATTTTCACCGCAGAGCTCTTCCAAGCAGCTCTGAGAGGCAAAGAAAAGCAGGCTGGGTTTGCTCTAAGAGCAGGGTCGACATGAGATGCAGGACTCAGTGTTTCAGACATACTTATATGAAAAAGTCATTTTTTTTGTTTTTAATTTTTGGCTTTTGTTTTTTCTGAATTCAAATTTAACAGGATGTTCTATAGTTTTATTTGTTAGACTTGACACCTCTCTTTGAGGATAGAGCTGCTTATACCTGTTTCAACCTACTCTGGCCATCCTGGCTCATGACTGCAATGGCCAGGCAGAGTCGACCTCATCCAGAGGGCTCTCAATGAACATAGCCAGACTATGGGACAAAAACATTTACTGAGAGAAAACTAAAATCACACTCTCTAAAGAAAATCTATATAGCTAACATGTAAAAAATAAAAATAAAAAACCCAACTTACCAGCTTCTTTTTGGATGTGAACATCTTCCCTGAGTGGCTCAAGGAAAAGCTCATGGATAGGCTGGATTCTTTTCCACTTTTCCTAGATGTTGTTGATGATCTGGGGCCTGTGTTAGTCTGTGCTTATACATTCTTATAACTTGAAACTATTTGAAGAACTCTTAGAGTCTTCTAGGATAATTGTTTAAAGTGACTTCAAATCTGGACTTTTCTGGGGTTTGTAACCTTCTTGAACCCACTCTAAAGAATGACTATTAGAATTTGCATTTTAACCTAGGTGTCTTGTTTCAGCCTTCATCTAAGACACTGCCAAGATATAGAGGTTAGTAGTCTAAACCTTTGGCAAGCACATTCTTCTATTAACACAAAGTTCATGTTAGAACGTGTCTCAGAATGTCTACTGTAAAATATTAACACCCCCCCACACACACATCCAACCAAATCAAGAGTCACTAAAACTCTACCCGATGGGGTGATATGCTTCTGGTTTGGATGGCACACAAACCCTTCTTTTAACTTTCTTTTTGTTGATGTATATATTCCAGGTAAAAATAGCTGACTCAATAACTGAATTTGAGATAAGTAAAATGATTCAACATTAGAACAGCCCAATTACAATAGAACAATTCCCTTCAACTCACAAAATCAATGAAACCGTCACTTCTTAGGAAGTTTTGCCAAAATATAGAATCCAAATCTACTTATGAAAAAAAGACAAACCCACACTGAAGGCCATTCTTGGGATAACTAGACCATACCTTTCAAAAGTGTCAAGTTAAAGAAGATAAAATCTTAGGTATTTTTCCAAACTGAAGACCTAAGAGATGTGATAATAAATGCAATGTATGATCCTGATTTGGATCCTCAAAATTATTATTAATAATTTTATTGGTACAACTGATGAAATTTGAATATGGACTATGGATTATAAAATAATATCATATCAGGGTCAAATTTTATGATTTTGAAAACTGAACTGTGGTTACATAAAAGGAAGCTTATCTAAAATAAGCACTGTGCAGTGTATAGGGTCAAAGGTGTCTTGTCTCCAACTTAGTCCCAATATATATGTGAAAAGAGGAAACAAAAGAAAAAAAGGGGCAAATTTAAATACTTGGTGAATCTGGATAAAGGGCATACATGAGTTCTTTAAACTATTCTTAAAGATTTTCTGCGTATTTAAATTTATTTTTAAAAATTACTAAAATATAAACTACTTATTTTAGTACAGGTTGAGCATCCTGTAATGCTCAGATTATTTAATCTGAAAATCTAAAGTCCAAAATATTCCAAAATCTGAAGCTGTTTGAACACTGACACAATGCCACAGGAAGAAAATTTCATTGCTTCTAAACAATATTAAGGTGATCAAAAAAGAGAAGACTGAAGTTCAGTTTATGGGATGGTGCCCAGAAATAAGAAGATAGCCCTTAACAGCAAAGGTGCTGAGGGCCATTACCAAGTAGGAATGACGCATCGAAATTTCCTTGCCAAGCGTACCCCATGCTGCTTAGAGGACATTCGATGGGACATTGCATGCATGCTTTAATAAGGTGACCTTGCTCAAGGACCAAGGCGGATCCGGGTTTAGAGCTGATCAGGTTTGAGGAAGTAACCGGCTCCTTGAGTTTAAGGCGTTGCCAGTTTAAGACAATGGGTTTTAGGGAAGTTGGAGGTTGAAGATTATTGCTGGGATTAGGGTGTTCCTGCTGCTTGTTCCCGTTGAGTTCTCGTGAGATTAAAATGGGATTTGGAGATAGCCTCGTGGAGTAGGTGAATTGTGCGGGCAGACGGCAGAACGCCATTGCCCCTGGTCCTGTGTGGAGGCGGTGTGAGAGCGGGAATAAAGAATTGCTGTTTGAACCTACAAAGGTGTGTGGTGGCTCGTGATTCTGGTGCCAAGCCGAGACATTGGCATTTCAAGGAACACGAATGTGTGGCAAGTCAAGGAACACGAATCAAGGAAGAGATCAAATCAATTAGAGGCCTCCTGGATAAAAACTAGGGGCAGGGGACTAGGGGATTTTGTGTGCTTCAGGTCATCTATGTCATAAGTGGGATATCTGGAACCTATAACCTATGCTACTATCTGCATGCTGCAACCCTAGGAATTTGGGAGTGGTGCACAAAGTTACTGTGAGAGATGACTTTTATGTTTTATGACAACACTTTAGAGTGAGGACAGATTTTAATTCACTCCGTTCTTAGATCTGTTGCTTCCTGAACAATTGGTCATATTCATGCTGTTTCTCAAAAGAATATTTTACTTTTAAAAGGGGATGCTTACATAGCCATAAATTAAATATAGAATGATTCAATGGTAGTCTCTGGGAGTTGCTCTTTTTGTGAAGTGTCATGACCTTGAAATATATAGAGGATTTGTTCCAGCTCTGTCCAAATTAAAGCTGAAGGGATATAAAACTGTCCACTGCTCCTTCCCATACTAATATGGGAGAGACCTGAAACTGAACTGATCCTTTTGGCAGTCTGCTCCTCTTCCATAGCCCTACACTTTCCCCTGGTTTTAATTATTATCCGCCTTCAATTACTCTGTCCTAGTCTTTTATGCCTAGTTCATAGCTTTTACTGAAGCACTAAACATATACATACAGCACTGGATAAGCAAATCAAACTCAAAATGTCCCAAGCCATATTTACTACCTTTTTGCCTCCAAAAACTATTCTTGCTTTTCCTACTCTGATAATAATGACAACATATGTTATAAACTTGCTATTTGGTAAACTTGGTATCATTGACTGTTATTCCCTCATATCCAAGTAACCATCAAAATATTTGATGGATATTCCTTTAATATCCATTGACCTCTCTCCAGCTTCACTGACGATTTCCTAACACTAGCATCGTCTCTTACCTGAGCTAGTATGTCAGGGAATCTGGGAGGGTCATGACATGCACATGTGAAAGTTATGCAAATTCAATTCTATGCATTTTGTTTAACTTCGTAAGGGCTGTTTCAGTATGTACAAGATTATATCATTTTACTAGGTCTTAAGAAATTTTGACCAAGTGAAAATATTTGCTTTCCACATTGATTTTTAAATCTGCCATAAAATACTGCCATAGTTTCAATTAGTCACTCAGTACTCTCCCTATCTCAGCACTTATCAGATGACACTATACTACAACTGTTTTACAATACATTTTCAGCCAAGCATGGTTGTTCATGTTTATAGAAGACTGAGACAGTAGAATCTCAAGTTCAAGATTATCCTGGGCAACTTGGTGAGAACTTGTCTCAAAACAAAAAGGGCTGGGGATGTAAGTTAGTGGTAAAGTACCCCTGGGTTTAGTCTCAACCCCCTGCCCCAAATAATTTGCTGTGAAATAAACATGAAAACTAAAATACAAACATGTATGTTTTTAAAAAAATATTTCTGGAGCCAATATTTGTATATATACAACACAGGTCAAGAAAGAAAACATCATTGGCATCTCTTCCTATGCATCTCTTCCAGATCAGAATCTCTTCTCTTTTCTGAAGCGGTCCAAGGTAATAATTTTATTTCTTTCCTTTATGTTTTCCATCCATGTAGGCATCCCCAAGAAATACAAATCAGTTAGCTTGGTGCTTTTTGTTGTTGTTGTTTACATTTCTATAAATGAAACTAGACTTCATGAATTCTTTTGGTCTCTCTTAGTTTCCCTCAACATTTGTAAGATTCATCTATACTATGTATGTAACTGAAGCTTTTTTATAATTGCCTCTTTACTTGTCTATCTCCTCCAGTGAACTCTTCATAACATGTCCCTTCTATTCAGCATTATATTCTCACCACTTCTTAGTATATGCATAAGAAACATTTGTTGTGAAAACCCAAACCATCTGTATCCACATAACTTAACCATCCACATGAATGTGACTATAGTATGCCACGGTCTTCATCAACATGACCTCATTACTCCAAGAAAATCTTCTCCGGGAAGATAAAAGTTGCAAACAACTTTATTGCTTATTTCAGAAATTTCCTTTAAAAAACCATTTAAAAAAACATTAAACTGTCCAATGCTTCAACAGATAGCATCAAATAGCTGCAACAAATGTTTGCTCTCTGAGATACTGTGAACATTTGGTTCTAAATATCTGCCTTAATGTGTCCATGAATTCTAAACTATATCATGATTCTTACCCAATCTTAATCAAGCCCTCATATTGAAAGACCTTCCTTGAACCAGATTCCAAACCCAATAAAAGTATTGATTTTGTCTTCTGCCTTTGTGATGCACTGAGATTCTCTCAAGGTAGAAGGTGGCAATTACATAATTGCACAAGTATTTGCTTTATCACTATTTATTACCCTTTCCATGATAAGAATAAACTTGGCTTGTCTTATTAACAGGTTGTTTTGAGGACATTTTCAGGGAGCCATTATTGTACAGTTGATTTTGTAAATGAACCAAAGAAAACACAGGCAGCATTTTCAAGTTAGAAAGCCAGTGTGCTTTGGCTCCACACAGCATTCCTACTAACTGCTAAAGCATCCAGTATTTTGCAAAGAAAGAGAGAGGCAAAACCTTCCATGGAAATCAATTTATAAAGGCCTGATACTTAAAGAGCATGAGGCAAGTCTAAGAATAGACCTCAGTACTAGGTATAAATGATTCTCAGCAACTCTCCTAGGAGTTAACAAATAGATTCAGAATAAGAGTGCTTAGACTAGGTTTTATGCTTTCTAAAAAAAAAAAAAAAAAAAAAAAACTTGGGAGAATCTTTCCAGGGTATCTTGATGAATATGTGTCATGGCCAACAAGCTTGCCTACTGATGCCTCAAGCACACTGAACTGAGAAATTAGAGTGTCATTTATTAGAAGAGTTAGAGAGTTCAGAATTTCCATTCATTTCCAGCATCACTACTATATTAGTCAGTTTTGCCTTACTATACCAAAATACCTACAGGAATTAACTTATAAAGAGAAAAAATTTTTAATTTACCGTTTTGAAAAGTCTAGTCCATATTTAGGTGGTCCCATTTCTTTGGGCCTCTGATGAGGTTGCTAAATGGTAATGGCAGAAGCATGTGTCTGAGGAAACACTTATCTCTTGAGCCAGAGGCAGAAAAAAGAGAGGAAGAGACTGAGGTTCTCTTCCATTTGGGGATATGCTCCCAATGACCTAAGAACCTCCCAAAAGGCTCCACCTGAAAGTCCACAGCACCCCTCAGTAGCACCGTGTCAGTGACCAAGGCTTTAACTCATCAACCTTTGGGGACACAGCCACTTTCAAACCATAGCAACAAAACCAGCAAAACTTCACCTTCATCTCAGAGAGTCATCACTGAGAAGAGCAAAACAGTGCAATGGGTGAGACATTGGTAACTCAAGATGGGGTGGATATGTTTCACAGGCAAAATGGAGATGAGTCTTGGAGCACTAGAAGGAGAACTGTGGTGTGATGAATAATGGCCCCCCAAATTGTTCCACATCCTAGTCCTCAGACTTTATGAACATCACCTTATAAGAGAAAGGGACTTTGCAGATACGACTAAGTCAGCGATCTGGAAACGGGAAGATTCTCTTAGATTATCTGGATGTACTGGTATTGTCACAATGTGATGATGGAAACAGAAAATGGACCCCTTGGAAGATGACCAAGGAGTTCAAGCAGCTGAGGAGGCAAAGACTGTCCCCTCAGAGTGCCCAGAGGCTGCAGTCCCACAGCACCTGGACTTCATCTCAATGAGACTGAGTTTGCACTTCCCATCTCCAGAAATGTAAGAGAATAAACTTATTTTGTTTTAGACCATTAAATTTGTGGCAATTTGTTGCATTTGCCATATGAAGCTAATACAGAGACATTATACACGGCCCCACTGACTGACTAATACACCATATCAATTTTCTAATTGTCAAGTAACAAGTGATTACAAATGTTATTGCTTAACTCCATTCATGGCTTAAATATGTGTACTTATTCCCTCACTTTTCATGGCTCAGAAATTCCGGCACAACTTAGCCAGGTTCTCTGTTCCGTATCTAATAAAACTATAATCAGGATGTTGACTAGGGTATCATATGTGGTTTGGGATCTTCTTTAAAATAGTTGTTAACTGAATTCATTTTCTTGCAGCTGTAGAACTGATGGTGTCTTAGAGAAAAGAATCTCTGACTTATTTCATCTCTGATGTCTGAACCCTCTTTTTAAAGTGCTCAACTGATTAAATCAATCCCACTCAATAATCTCTTTTGATTGATTCAAAAAAGTCAGCTGATTTGAGACTTTAATTACATTTTCAAACTCTTTTCACCTTTGCCATATGACATAACATAATCATGGAAGTGATATCCTAGTCACAGACACCCTAGTCACAAACACTGCCCACACAGAAGGGGAGGAGATTATGTAGGGTATTTATCTTAAACATGAATATATCAGAGGGAGTCTTAAGATTTGCCTATCACAGACCTGAATGTCATTTATTTTGTTTAATGCAACATTTTAATATTTTAGCAGATGTTAATGTAAGCATACTTAATATTCACATTTTTAATTCAAAGTTTCATTCATCAATCCTATTTTCTTTCATAAAAGAAATCCTATTTTCTTAGGTCCCTATTTAAATTAGGTATCTATATAAAATTCTCATACTGTTGGAGTTTTTAAAAAATCTAATTGAGGCAATTATTTTCTATGTACATAGAATATTAAAAAAATCAAAACTTTTTATACATATATATCTTTTCAAAGGACATAATTTTTTTTAATAAATTAGAAGTCTTAGAGAAAAGCACATCAGTAGAGAATGAGCATCAAAATCCAAGTTTCAAGAATTTGTATTTGAAGTTCTCTCCACTATACAAAGAATAATCAGCATTTGTTTCTCAGAAAATATTTTACAAGCTCAGAATTAGAAATCAGATTTATATGTCATTAATGTCAATAGTTTCCCACACAAGACTGACACAAGTCCTCACAGATGCTGGCGTTTTCCCTTCATACCCCGAGAATGGCTTTAATTTTCCAAAACTATCAATTTAGCACTAATACTATATTCTTGCCTTGTATGTGTGCCTAAGAAATTGACAGCACACACACACACACACACACACACACACACACACACACACACACACTGTTTATAAGGCTCCTGTCTCCACCAACTAACCAAGAAGTATCATCATTTATCACCCTTTATGTGGAGGACAATTAATGGCTTCATTGGTAGCTCTTTGCAGCTATACTTTGGCAGTGTTTGTTAATCAATGCCTACAAGCCTCATGGAACTAATCAGACGGGTGAGGGGGAGGTAGGGAGTGCAGGAAAGAAGGGAGGAAAGGAAGACAGGAAGGCAGGAGAGAAAGAAGGAAGAAAGAGACACAAAGGGGGAAGAAGGACAGGAAGGATATTTTTATTTTGCTCTCCTTTCATTCAGAGGTCTTTCTGCTAGAAGTCTTAGATGAGTATAGATGAAGCTGTTATTCAGTATGCCACCCCTCCAGCCTCAGCAGTAATCTAATAGGATTACAGTTTTCTCTAACATTCCAAATTGTGAATCATTCTAATTTTCTTTTTTCATTTGCCTGCTCTTGGAAGTGAGTATTTCCACTGCGGTGAACAAAACCCTAGGACAGAACCTAGGGCTCTTGGGCCCAACTCTGTCTCTGCTTTACATGATTTTGACAAGTTACTCTGGAGCTTGGTTTCCATATGTAAGAAAAACAGAAAATTTGCAAGCTCCAGCCAGCTCTAAAAGTCTGTGATTCTCTATTGACCTAAATCCAAATTAAATTCAGTATCTTTTTTTTTATGAAACATTATTTCGTGTCACTACTTTGGTATTACTACTTTCATTGCTTTTTAATAGCCTGGAAACAACTCATATTAACTGTAGTAGCAAAGTAGAAATGAAATTGGGAACTGAAATAATGATAAAACTGCATGTAATGAGCACTTAGTATGTGCCTGGCGCCATGCTAACTGCTTTACACATTTTATTTAATCCTCAGGACAACTCTCTGATAGGATTATTACTTCCATTTTACAGATGAGGGACTGGAGGCTTACAATGGTTAGATGACCTCCCCAGGGTCATATTACTAAGCCAGTCAGAAATAAAGCTCAAATTTGTACCTATATCACCAGGCCACAAAGACTATACTTCAGAGCATTAGGCTTTCCCATAGCCACCTGGTCCCTTACTTGTGGATGGCTACTCAAGCCCAACCCTGTTAGTTTGTGGGGTAACCCAAATGGGCAATGTGGGCTGGGGTTTGCAGGCTCCCTCCTGTACCTCTCTGGAGCGCACTAATAGAAGATTGGATGGCATGTGGGTAGGAGTCCCTCTCTTGTGCTTTAAAATATTCCACTTCACAGGTTCTCTGTTTCCCTTGTCACCATCCCTCATGGATTTAAGAACCAAGGGAGGTCTTCCTCTGGGAAACCTAGACTGCTACCTTTCATAACATGCCCTTTACTAGTTTGGAATGGATGTCAGAAATTTACCTACATTTCCCTCTATTCTAAGGAAACTATTGTAAAATTAATACATAACCCATAAAAAATTAAGACTGAACAGAGAAAAAAGTCCCCTACAATTTAATAAATGCATAAGCATTAGAATATCCACTTCCTAGATGATAAAAAACAAGAGAGGGTTATGGAGTTTGTAAGTTGTCCAGCTTCTCTGCATGATAGTGTTCCGTGCACACATATCTTCTTAGCTCTCCTGGTGTTCTCTTTTTCTATTACGAGGGAGTTCCGGTTAAAGAAAGACCTCAGACTCAGGAGAGGAATACCACAGAGAGATGGAGACAAGAGACAGAAGGAGGCAGAGACTGCAACTGCCAGTCAAGGAATGCCAGAGTGCTGCAACCACCAGAAACTTGAAGAGGCCAAGAAGAGATCTTCTCTCCAGGTTTCAGAGGGAACATGGTCATGAAAGACTTGGTTTGGGGTTCCTAGCCTCCAGAAAAGTAAGAAAATAAATTTCTGCTGTTTGAGCCACCCATTTTGTGGTATTTTATTATGATAGCCTTAGGAAAAAAAATATAGGGAGCTAATAATAGGCTCCTTGGATACAGAATGGGAAGCCACCAAAAGGCAGTAGAATTTAAGAAAAGCAGTAGAGTGTTCCCATACAATGGCTATTGTGAATAAGGCTGCCATGATCATGGCAGTGTGGATGCATAAAGTGAGGTATGTTATGGCAATATTGCAATAAATCATGGAGCCAATCTTAAAGCAGGAGATGGAACATTTATTCGCCAGCTGGTGGTCTGAATTCACCAGCCAGTGGGCCAAGGGACAGGCAGCAGTCTGCACCCTTCAATTCCCTCCAGGGATTAGAGCAAACCTTTTATAGTTCAAATCCACAAGTAAAGCATGTCAGTACATTAATCATAAGTGGCTGTTGCTATGATTCTAAACCATAAACAAAAATTATGAGATCTAAAATCATAAGCAGAAGGGGAAGCAGGTCAAAATGACCCTAATTGAGTACAATTTAAAGAATGGTTACTAACATCTAGACAAACATTCTCTGACATTCTATGTGGTTGGAGTACATTGTACAAGTAGAGTATATAAGAATTGCCATTTTGTGATGTCAAACATGTTATACTAGGCAGCTGTTAGTGGGTACAGAGGTGGGATTTTCCCAGGAGAGAAGCATTTCTTACATGACATGGAGTCTCAGGGTAAAAGGGAGTCTGTTTGGTCATCTCCAATATAGCCTGGCCCATAACAGGTAGATGTATAAAATGGAACATTATATAGTCTTTGAAGGAAGTCACAAGGCATGGGGCACATGCCTGTAATCCCAGTGTGTCCGGAGCCTGAGACAGGAGGATGGCAAGTTCAAGGTCAGTCTCGGCAACTTATCGAGGCCCTAAGCAACTTGCCAAGACCCTGTCTCAAAATTAAAAATAAAACAAGCTATGGATGTGGCTCAGTGGTTAAGTGCCCCTGGATTCAACCCCTGATACCCCAAAAAAATAAAAATAAAAAAAGAAAGGAAATTCTGTCATTTGCCACAACATGGATGAACCTAAGGACCTTCTTCTAAATGAAACAAGGGGGACACAGAAAGAAAATTATTGCATGACCTCACTTAGATGCAGAATCTAAAACAAATCAAAGCAAAAGATCAAATCCAAATAATACTCAGAGATAGAGAATAAAGCAGTAATACCAAGGGCTGGGGCAAGGAGGGGAGGAAATGGGAACATGTAGATCAAAATATACCAAGTAGATGATAAGTAGCATGAACAAATCTAGAGTTTTAATGGATAACAAGAGTATAGTTAATAAGATTGCATTGTATTAGGAATTATTGTTAAATAAGTAGATTTTATCTGGTCTTGCCACACAGATACATACAACAGTAACTATGTGAGATGATAGATATCTTAATCTGCTACTGTATAATAACCATTTTACTATCTATATATGTCCATAACATCTTGTTATAAACCTCAAATATAGGCAATAAAATTTATTTTGAAAATACGTTTTAAAGCAGTTAGAATTTCAAAGACAAGTGTGTTCTACTTACCTACTGACTTACTACAGTACAGGTGCCCCCTTCTTTTATTCTAAATGAAGACCAGTTTCCAGTTGAGCACTGCTGCCTCCTGCTTGCCCCCAGCTTTCTGGGGAGCTGATAAAAGGGGAGGAGTCCAGAAGCACCTCTGGCATCTTATGCTCAGCTCATCTAAAGGTACTGATGCTCTGACAGTTAAGGAGTTCACCATTCTCTGCTGCTGAAGAACTGGGGAAAGGAAGAGACCTCTATGTATATGTGGGAAAGCTCCCAAGCATGTCCAATAGGTGCAAACTTGATTTCTGTGATTCTCAAGTCAGCTCTGATAATCCTTTCTGATGATCTTATTGCTGTTGTGGTTTCTTCTCAAATAATCTACATCTGTGAAAAACAACAGGGTGAATTTTCTGCCCATTGACATATCTGTAAACTATCCTTTCTCAAATGCCAGGGAAACAAAATATCAAAGGCGAAAGAACCGTATTACAACTGAGAATTGAATACCCTCAAAGGGACTATTGATGTGACAAAATACACAAGCAACTAAAAAGGAAGAGTGCTTTGTTGTGGCTCAGAGTTTCAGAGGTTTTAGTCCATGGACACTTGTCCATGTTGCTTTGAGCCTGCAGCTGCATAGTAGATCATGGCAGGCATGCATGTTGCAAGAGCCCTATTCTCAGAACAGCCAGGAAATGAGAGAGACAGAGAAGAGGCCAGGGATCGAATGTTCTCTTCCAGGGCTTGCCTTCAATGACCTAACGTTTCTTCTACTTGGTGCCACCTCATAAAGGTTCTCCCACCTTTCAGTAGTGCTGCTGGAGACCACGTCTTTAGCATCTGACATTTAAGGTCCAAACCATAATGGCTCCAGACTGACTTGTCAAGGCCAATCATTCTGCAGTTGCTGTGGGAAATGGGAATAGCTGCAGTGTTCTGCTGCTCTTAAAGGGCTCCTCACTACTTTCAGCTTCCTCTCACCAGATCAGGTGCAAAAGGGCAGCATCACAGCATCTCTCAGCTGAGACCGCTCCACCTACTGTGAAGAGCCTGGTGCTGTGGTGACCACAGGGTTCTGGAGCTTCTAGACCATTTCCCCACTAGCTGGAGTCATCGGAAACTGATACAAAAACAAGATGGTGAGATTTTTCTCCTCTCTCTTCCACACTTCCACAACCCAGAAATAGGCTTCAATAACTATAGCTACGTAAAAGCCACTAAACCCACCAGCAAGCTTGATGGTGGAGAAGCTGCTTCCAGAACCATGTCACTTACACCCAGTTCCTTTCTGTGTCCTTCAGCTCTTAGCTGGCCTCCTCTGCTCTGCCTTCTACCTGAGCTCTGGCCTTTCAGAGCTACCCAACCTGGTTGCCCTAATCTGGAGACCCTTTGCTCCAAAGAATCCCTTGTTGTCGCTTATCCTCATCAAAAAGCAGCTCCCATGACAGCCTTCAGTCAATGCTTAGGACAGCAACTAGGAGACAGAAACAAAGTGCCAGATGTACTTTCCAGTGAGCTGACCATATTTGTACTTCTTGGAGTATTTAGGCCTGAAAATACCAGTAACTTTTGTAGTGGATTGAAAGGTGCGTCTATCCCCTAAACTTTACAACATGAGAATTTGATCTTATTTAACAAAAGGATCTTGGCAGGTATTAAATTAAGAGCATCCTGGTTTGGGGGTTGTGCCCTACATCCAAGGACAAGTGCCATTGTAAGAGTCAGAAGAGAAGGCCCAGCGAGGGACGCCTGGAGCCTCCAGAGGCTGGAAGAGTGAGGGAGGACAAGGGCCTTGAGAGGAAACACATCCCTGCTACTACTTTGGTTTTGGACTTCTAGAATTCAGAACCCCGAGAAAATGAAGTTAAGTTTTTTAAACCACAAAGTTTGTGGTCATTAGTTAGGACAGCTCTAGGAAACCAATACAATTGTTAATGCAGTACTAGCAGTGCTGCCTCTTAAAGCGCAATTTGAGATGGATGTGGCAGGAAAACAGAGCAGAGTATCAAGAAAGATTTAAAAAATAAAAAAGAGTGAGCACTGGACTGAAAGTAAAATTCTCTGAGTTGGAGAGAGAGAGAGAGAGAGAGAGAGAGAGAGAGAGAGACAGAGAGAGAGAGAGACAGAGAGAGAACATGATCATGCAGCTACCTACCTCCCTGAGGGGGAACATGCTTATGCTTAGCAGTTTTTTGTGTTTGGGTTTTTTTTGATTGTTTGTTTTTTGCATTTATCTTCTTTTAATACAAATAAGACTACTTTGTTCTGTTTTTTCACTTATTTTTTTTTCCATTTAGTATATGATGGATGTGTTGCATACTGGCCTAAAAAGTTTCGCTTCATCTTCTGAATGACTAATGTTATGCTTATATAGCTTTACCTCAATTTACTTAACCCATAACATTGTATTTTGTTTCTAATGTTTTCTATTTCGAATAAAGAAATAACGACTATAAAATAAATATATCTTAGCTGGGTGTAGTGGCCCACACCTGTAATCCCAGCAGCTCGGGAGGTGAAGGCAGGAGGATCAGGAGTTCAAAGCCAGCCTCAGCAATTTAGCGAGGCACTAAGCAACAAACTGAGACCCTTGTCTCTAATAAAATATAAAATAGGGCTGGGAATGTAGCTCATGGTTGAGTGCCCCTGAGTTCAATCCCTGGTAGCCCCCCCCAAAATAAATAAATAAGTAAATAAAATATATCTTAGAGTACTAGGCAAGTTTATCTGTGGGATAAATTCTTAGAAATGGGACTCGTAGGTCAAAGGGCATGGGTTACCTAATTAATTGCCTTCAAAAAGGACTGTACAAGTTTTACCCTCAGAGGGTTCAGGAGGACCCATTTCCTCACTTTGTTGACTTCACCAGATGTTTCCAACAATTTTAACCATTGCCTGTCCATACTTTTCGTATTCCACTGATGGTATTTGGGTAGAGAGAAAAAATTTCTATGCCTGGCTTGATGGCCTAAACTCAAACAAAAGTTCTATTTAATGTTATTTTTCTCATCTAAGGGAAAATATCCTCCTCAACTGGATTATACTACAGCTTTATTCCCTCTTTCGTGGTATGTACTAAGGGGTTAATTCCAGCTAGCCCTCATTACCTTCCAGGGAATTCTTCCACAGCCTGAAAAATATTTTGACTTTTCAAATCCTGGTCTGATGACTTGAGTGAATTCTGTGCTGCCCTGTCAATCTTATGCCTGACAACTTTGTTTATGGCACCTTGTACCTTAAGTCTCTGTTCTAGTTGACGTGGATTTTATTTAGTGATTGTTTGACAACATTCTAGGAATAAGGATACAAACTTGATGTCCTCAATCAGAGTGCTCGCCTAAGCAGGCCACCGTATTTATTTGGGACAACTTGCCTCTAATTCCCCCGATTTTGTACGTAGGCACCGTGTTTTCTTACTTGCATGGGTGATTCAGGCCCTGAAGTGTTTTGGGGTCCTGAAACCTTTTTTGACTACTACCTCTTTTCCAGGAAAATCTCATGGAGAGTGTAACTTAGAGGAACCCATTTGGCCTCCTTCCTCTCCCAGTTTATTTATTGCCTACTTGCAGAGAGCTCTGTGACTGACACCCAAGGCAGCAGATTTGCTATTCTACAAATCCACCATTCCTGTCGCCTCCTTGCCAGGAGCGCTGCTGCCTGTGATCCCACCAACCTCCCTCGCTTGGTTTCCTCTCTGCATGGCTGCTCCAGGGCACCATCACCAGCTGGCTGGCTGTCAGCAGTGTGAGATGTAAATGTCCTTGTGCTTCCAGCCCTCCATTACCACTCCTTGACATTTTCCCTGAAATCTGGAGAAGGAGATGGAAGATTCTGCGTTTTTACCTTCATTCCCCATGGTAAAAGCAGGGGAGGAGCTGCAGGTTGTTTCTTGGAACAGAATAAAATTCTTTCTAAAAACAAATCAGGAATTTTATGTTATGTATATTTTGCCACAATGAAAAGATCAACAAATAATAACAACAGAAATTAAGGACTAGGAACAGCCAGATTGTTTTCCTCCCAGAAAAAAAACACCCAAATAACCCTATCTACATCATTATGTGTCTTAACAGAGAAACACAAGGGAAACTAAACTGTACCTTTCTTTGGTAAAACTGCCCTGACTTCCAGGGTACTGGTAAGCCATTCACTGATGTACTTCCATGCTGGGGACCTTAAGCATACCTCCATGTAGGTCTCACTCAGGCAACACATAATTAGACGACAAATTCTGAGCGTCTGAAATTCTTGTCTTCAGGTTGCACTAAAGGATCCAGAGATGAAAATATTTTCATTCAGAGATCAGAGCACACTCAGGCAGGTGGGGGCCTAATAAACGAAAGTGCACTGCCAAGATCTTTCGTCCTTTTATTCTCAATCTAGTTACTTGTCCTTTGGGCTGCAGAAAAGGCTGTGTGCATCTCTGATTTCCCCTTCCCAGCAGCCGCACAGCACCTCACACCTGGCCAGGTGCTGGAACTGAGGTAAAATGGCAGACAGACATGATTGTTCCCACATCACAGCCGAGGTCAAGGTAGGACCTGAAAACAGGTGGAAAGAAGGGAAAGATGAAGCACAGTGCCAAAAACTGCATGGGAGTCAAATATAGAAACAAAAAGAATCATGCAGAAGGATTTCGACCCCATTGATGTGGCCTTATTACCCTGCCTTCTCACATGCTAGATTCGAGATGCATTAGCAGCTGAATTGCCCTTTAGTCGAATCAGCCAGTGTCTGGGAATCATTTTAAATACCATTTAGTAGCATTTAGGTTATTTTATGATAACACAGTTCCCATTGAAAGGATTATTAAGCTCATATTTGCAGTGGCCTGGGAAAAAAAAACATAAAACTTATCTCTTTGAAAGATGACTCCCACAATTGCCCCTTCAGCAATTATTCATTTAGGAGCCTCTCTGCCTATAATAGAACCTTCGATAAATTGGCATATGCTAATGCAGGGCTCTGCTGTGGGTTTCTCCTTTAGGAGTTCAGATTCTCATTACTTACCAGTTGATGCACAGGATCCCAGACTCCATTTCCTTCAGTTTGGTGTCACTCTTACATTGTTTGCTCTGAGCCAAAGTAATTTCTTTTCCTTTCCACATACCTATTGCTCCTTTGATAATGGGTTTCTGGGGCAATATTGCAAATAATAAACCAGTGGTCAGAGCTCACTTGCTTTCCTCCCAAAATAATACCTCATTAGGTAGCACATCTTGTCTCTTTGCTGTGAAACAGGGAGATTTTTATAAAAAGCTTCATTTCTTGTGGATCACTGAAGCCTGTAACTTATTTGAGGAGAATATTCTATTTAAACCTGGTGAGTTCAGCAGATACCTGAAATCTGAAAGTTGAATAACTACTATGTTAATTACACAAGGATGTTGGTTTAAAAAATATATTCAAGTAGCCGAAAGTGCAGTAGTATGCCAGAGTTGATTTGCCCTGGCTTGGGAGAGCCAATATTTCACAACTCTTCCCAGCTCCAGGTTCAGTGACTTGATGTCAACTTGGTAGTCTGAAATTGGTCATGAGAATTGGGAACTGCTACAAATCAGAATTTCCTTCCTTCCTTCTATTCTCCCCACTTCTGTTTTTCAGAAGCTTATTATTAAACATTTACCATCCCCCATCACCTAGGCAGATTCTCTAGAACAAAACAGTCTCTAGTCACAAATGGGCAATAGCCAAGACCTCACTCATTGCCAGACACTGACCATGAAAGTGGCCTGGCTATCCCCCAGGTAGCACCACCTCTGATCTCAGGCTCATTATTTCTATGTAACTAATTTCATCCAATTCCTACAAGCTCACTTTCCCATATATTCCCCTAGGTCAGACCAGGAAATTTCTATAATGGAAGAACCATATACTCATTATACTAGTTCTGAAAGATAAAAACCATATATATATATATATATTTCAGGAATTTAGTTATGAAGATACTGAGAAGTTGGGTAAAAGGTTGAGTATTTTGAGAAGTAAAGGAGACTGGGAAATGATTACTTCTGTCACTACATCTGAAACACTTCAGGAAAAGTGCCAACGTCTGCTTTTAATTCTTTTAGCTTAAGGATTTAATTATTAATGAATCTGAATTTCATTATTTAAGCTTTTATCAGTATTTATATTATAATGTGAAGGAAAATACTTTTTGTGGTTATATGTGTGTTTGTTTTGTACTAGAGTCAAACCGAGGGCCTTGTACATGCTGAACACATGCTCTACCTCTGAAGTACACCACTGCTACTCCACAGAAAGGTTTTGATGAGGGGTGAAAGATATAGAGAAAAGAGGGTTCATGAGAATGGAGCTCCCAAATTAAAAATTTCTCATCTTATCATGTCTCTAGGTCTAGCCTAGGATCTAATAGTATTGTTTGACAAACCTTCTAGTTACACAACCACATTGTTTTAAAAAAAAGTCAAGTAGCACAAAGAATACAAAATGGAAAGTAAATTTTCCCCACACCCATTCTGCTCCCAATTTCACTGTTCATAGTTAATGAATGGTAATATTTTATTTTATATCTTTTTAATTTAAAATAGTATATATGAATGCCAAATGTACTATTGCCTTTGATTATGAAATATTTATTATGAACCCACAATAGTTTCCAAATTTTTCCCCAAATATGCTTTTACTCAGACACACAGACATCAAACAATGCTCGTTAATATTGAAAAACTGGCTCGTTTGCTACATTAATTTTAAAAACCTGTATTTCTACAACTTTCCCTTTGAAAGCTCCCCCAGCCACTGGCCCCACTTACCCTAACTATGTTACAGAAAATTCATGGACAGTGAGATTGCAGAGCTGATTTAACTCCTATTGGCAGGATTTTTGACCAGAAAGATATATGACCCCAGAAGATCACACCTTAGTATCCTCCTATGTTCTCCTACATCATAGCACTGCTACTCTTCTTTCTCAGAATGTTAGACTCTCTGGTGAAGTCAAATCCATTAGAAATTTTACAAGATGTGCATAACAGTAGCCCTCTGTCATCTCTTCTTCAGCAAGACCAATGACTTGGATATTCTTGTTGTATACTTAAATAGCTCATTCTCCCCACTTTTTCCTTTATTGGACCACATTGTCCAATATTGCCAAAGCTCCTGCCTTAGGGCCTCTCAGCCCTGTGTCCCATAGTCCTGAAGTTGAAATTCATCCAAGGATATAGAACTCACTTTCAGCCCCAGCCTCCAAAACCCAACCACAGTTTCTCACTTGGCAGCTTCTTGCTTCCAGCTGAAGAGGAAAAGGTAGAATCTCATCTTGTTGCAGTGGTCTTTCTGCATTCACTGGCTCAGCTGTAAGCCTCGGAGTAGATTCCTTGTCAGGAGAAGCAGATGTGCCCATGTTCCTTGCTGTCTCCTCCCCTGTGGCCATGGGACCTCCCCTTACAGGTATTGGGTTCTATTATCACAGTCTCAGTCTTGTCTTAACCACAGGGGTCTATTTACAGTTTTCAGTCCTTGCCCTTCTATTGCACCTTCCTCTTTTATGTGTCTCTCAGGTTCCATAGGCCCCAACTGCTCCTGTGTCAGTAAGTTTTTCATTGCTATAACAAAATACCTGAAAAGAGCAACTTTGAGGAGGAAAAGTTTATTTTGGTTCATGGTTTCAGAGATTCAATACATGATTGGTTATCTCCATTGCTCTGGGTCTAAGGTCTAAGCAGAACATCATGGTGGAAGGACATTATCTTATGGCAGCTGGGAAGCAGAGAGAGTAAGAAGCCACAGACAAAATATGATCCCCAAGAATATGTTCCCAGTGACCTCCAGCCATGCCCTCCCTGCCTACAGTTACCACCCAGTAGTCCATTCAAATTACAGCTCTCTTATTCTAGTGGTTTCATCTCTGAACATTGCTTGTTATGGTTTAGATGTGAAGTGTCCCCCAAAGGGTCATGTGTGAGATGATACAAGAAGGTTTAGAGGCAAAATGATTGGATTATGATCCTTAACCCAATCTGTGAATTAATCCCCCAAAGGTATTGACTGGTAACTGAATGCAGGTATGGTATGAGTTGAGGATGTGGGTCATTGGCAGCGTGGCTTAGGGGTATATATTTTGTCTCTTGAGAATGGAGTTTCACTGCTTCCTGATACCATGTTCCCAGCTGCTTTCCTCTGCCACACTCTTCCACCATGATGTTCTGCCTCATCTTGCACCCTAAAGAATGGAGTGGACATCTATGGACTAAGACCTCTGAAACTGTGAGTCCCAAAATAAAAGAAAACAGAAAAACAACTGACTAAAACAGTGCTACATTGGGGATTATGTTTCCAATAATGAGCTTTTCATGGGATACTTCATATCTAAAGCATAATAGCTCCTAAAGCCTGGACAGCCTAGTTGGGTTTGTTTTTGTTTATATTTTGCTCCTGCCCATGAGTAACTCATCCCAGAGCATCATGGATGAGCCAGGAAGATGCCCACAGAAGTTTAGATTATACAATTGAGCCTTGTCTTGAGCTACACTTTGCAAAAGTTTGAGTACTTGACACACAAGCTCCTATACATACTCCCAGCCTATACTCTTTCCTAGAATGATATCATGAGGGAAGGGCTACCTTTCTAAATATAATATTGTTCAGCTCCTCCAAATGTGTCCATGGACAATAAATCTTCCACATGAGAGATAGTATTTGGACAACAGTGGAATCTTATCTAGATTATGTGCTGATGTTTGCCCTGACTCAGCCCATCATGCTATTTTGAGGACTGGATGCTAAAGGTACTAACTCATTATGTTTCTAAATGTGGACATTTATTCATTCATTTAATTAATATTTATCAAGTATCTACTATATGCCAGATATTGTTCTAAATGCTAGGGATACTGGGGAAGATTCTTGATCCTCTCCAGCTTCCCTATAGTACATTTGAACAAAAATGGAATGTTTACATAAGAATCAATGTTAATGACAAGGATACGAGTGGAGAACCCAAGAACTCTAAATTATCTCGTTTTTGAGATATACTTGGTCTCTGGGCTCATACGGTCAGGACCCATGTGGAATATTAGCCTCAATATTAGACTCACCTCTCAGAAAACCATTTATGTAAATCTATTGCTTTCAAAGTAGAGCCTACTGCTCAAGTCTCAAAGTGAGAGAATACTTCCTCTCTCTGCAAAATAATCTGGCTTGTTCTGCAGGAGGCAAAGATTACATAAAATCAACCATGTATTATTTGAATGCTCTCTAGTTTGCCTATATTTTTCCTACTTGATCTAAAGAAGATTAAAGAAGTATTCATTAACCATTTCTACTTTATTTCTTTCAATTTGAATTTGTATACTAGTTTCTATTTGGTCTATTTTAATGTGTAATATATTTGGTTTATATGCATTTTGGACAAATACTCCTTTCTTTTTTCTTTTTTAATTTAAAATTTTTAATTGTCAAAAAGATATATAATACAGTGATTTGTTATACATACACACTGTGTACTGATTATCACAGTGACATGAATTAATGTATCAACACTACCACAGTTACTGGCTTGTGTTGGGAACATGGGAAG